GTGGTGATGATCTCCTTACCGCATTTCAGCACTTCAACAGGGATGTTGTCCCTTCCAGGTGCCTTGCCGGAGGTGAGGGAATCCAAGGCCGCTTTTATTACTGCTAAGGTTGGTTCGCTGTCCAGCTCTTCCAAGACAGGCAGGCACTCAATGTTATTTAATGCTTCTTCAGTTACTACATTCTCTCTGGAATATAGCTCGGAGTAGTGCTGCACCCAGCGTTCCATCTGCTGTGCTCGGTCCTGGATGATCACACCTGTAGCGGACTTCAAGGGAGCAGATTTCTTCTGTAATGGACCTAAGGCCTGCTTGATACCATCATACATTCCTTTGATGTTACCTGTGTCCGCTGCTATCTGTGTCTGAGAGCAGAGCTGAAGCCAATAATCATTGGAGCATCTCCTGGCAGTCTGTTGGACTTGGCTACGAGCAGCTCGAAGAGCTTGCAGGTTGTACTCGCTAGGACAGGTTTTGTATGCTGTTAGAGCTCTTCTCTTATCCTCGATGGCTGGCATTAACTCCTCCGAATGGGCTTCGAACCAGTCAGCCATCTTTTTGGTCTTCTTGCCAAAGGTGGACAAGGCGATGTTATAAACAGCGTTCTTGAAGTGTTCCCATCGTTCAGGTGCATTTACATTAGCCGGACCTAGAAGGGTTTCCTCAAGTGCTTGGGCAAATTCCTTCACTTTTCTTTGATCACGAGTCTTGCTGATGTCAATACGTGGTCTTCCTTCCTTTTTCATGTGATACAATTTCTTTGTTCGCAGTTTTACTCTACTACACACCAGGGAGTGATAGTAACTTATATAGAAACAAGAAAGCTTCTTATTCTACAGAGCTTGTAACATGACATTTTTGCACTCAACTCCCATAATCCTTCAACTGGCCACCTTTTTCAATTTCTTGACCATTCTATCATTGAGCCAGTGGCTCTCTGTCAGAAGTCCTTCACATCACTTGCAATCTGTTTCTGTTAACTGGATTTGACAGGAATTGAACCAGAGTCTTTCTGCATGCTAATCATGTGTTTTGTTACAAAGCTGTGGGCCCACCTCAAAATACATTAATGTTTTACACTAAGAGTTAATATAGAACATACATGAGCTGGATCTCATAAACATATCCTTTCTTGAGAGTGACAGCTGTTTGTAGCATTGTTTGGAAGTAAACTTGGCTAATGAAGAAATATTCTGCTATATATTAAAGAAATAAACCAAAACAGCCACTAAGGTAAAAGTGAAGGTTAAAAAAAACAACCTCATCAATCACTATCTACACGTTTAACTTTGATAGTTAGGAGTTTTATCCCATAACTCACGGAGGAAACATAGGTATTTATAGTCTAGAAAAGTCTCAAGAACAGAGTTCTTCCCCCAATCTAAACAATTTACTTTGATGCGCTGATTTCAGTTTGTGAACAATCTGTAATCAATATTGGGTAATCCCTATTTAAAATTTCTTTTTGGTACAAGTTTCATTTTATTATAAATATTGGCAATATTAGATTACATTGTTTTATGTCTCCTTTTTGTTTTCCAGCTTGCTTGGGAGTATGGAATACCTTTTTTTGAAACTAGTGCAAAAGACAATATAAACATTGATAATGCCTTTTTAGTACTAGCCACAGAAATACTGAGCAAGGTAGGATTACTGGAGTATAGCTTATCTTAAGTTAAATCATGTGAAGTGAGAAAAATGAATCAGAAGTATGATGTGAGAAATATATAATGTATTTAGTGCTTCAGGATATGTACATTGTAGTATGTCTCTCTCTGTGTGTGTGTATATGTATGTGTAGTGCAGTTTGTATCTGGCAAACAAGTTTTGAATACAAAAAAAAGTTACATCAGAAAGGGACATTTTGGCTACATAGCTGTATCTGCCTACCAATCTAGATGCAAAGTAAGAGAATGATAGGTACATTTATAAAGTTGGCCAATAAACCCTGTTCTGGGGTTTCAAAATGAGATTAATGTATGTGGGGCTTTCCTTGTGAATTGTCCGAAAACTGCAGCTATAGTCAATGGCAGTTAAGCTGCTGAATAGGGGAGTCTAGCATGTGGCTGTACAACTTTACTAACAGACTGGTACTAGCTGCCAGTATGTTTCCAAGCCAAAGTCAGGGTGCTAGAGATTTTGCTACTTGGGATGCTGGTTCCACATCTAAAAGCCCATGAGAGAAAAGGACTATTCCATTGGGAGCTTGCTTCAGTCTTCACTTGCCAATTAGTTTTGTTTTGCAGTTGGGAGATGCCATGGCTTTGTTTGCATGTTTGGTGTTTCAGGCACATAACACGGAAAGATTTGTGTCCTTGGAAAGAGAATGCTATAAGAGAAGGAAATAGGTATTGTTTAAATGTGTGATCTGACCCTGTTGCTCTTTAAGAATTTAAGGCCAGGTCACTTGAGGGAATGCTTTCTCCCATATGAACTTAACTTAAAATCGACAACCAGTAAGGCAATAAAACTCAACTGCCATGAAATAGTAACACAATATTTGGAAGCTTAAGAAACTTATGAAAATATAAAGGTAATTGTTGAAAGAATTTAAGCAAGGGCTAAGAAAACCTCTCAGGTGGTAGTATTCTGTATCGGGTGCCACTTCTGAGAAGTCCATTTCCTGATAGTTAGCCTTGTCTCAGAAGACTGGGTAGCTATAGTAGTATCCTCCACCTAATTTAAAGTGCACAAAGGTATTATTCAAAGGCATATAGTGTGTGTTTCAGTAATCCAAACGAGATGTAACTGAGGCATGTCACCATCACATTTCAAGGAATGGGTGCAGCTGGTCCACCAGCTTTAACTGTGCAAATGCACTCCTGCTGAAACCTGTGTGTCTAATCTCAAGTTCAGTCCAAAATCACACCCAAGTTGTGAACCTATCTTTTCAAGAGGCGTGTAACCCCAACCAGCAAAGGCTGAATCCCTATCCCCTGATTTGCCTTTTGACTGACTAGCCTACTTCTTTTTGAACTCAACTCCAATGAAGGTTTTGTCAATTAAAAAATATTAAGCCTCTTCTCTTGTATCATGTTTGTTTTGACAAGATCAAAAGGCTGAATTAATTCAGCATCTAGGAAAGATAAGGAGCTTCCTGACATATCTTACATGTTTTTGCATTTTTCTGAGACAGATTTGCATTTACTTTGTATTGCCGCTGAACTGCATGTCTTAATCATACTGTATGTAGCATATCTCTGTTTCCTGTTTGTTTCCTCATTACCACATTTTTTAAAAAAAGATGTGGTAAAGAGAAATCCAAGATAAGTAGTTCATAAAAGGTTTCGGATAGAGTAAAAATTCTGTTTGAAATGAGACGTAATTCATTTGTGGAACTCACTGCTCCAAGATGTGATAGCAGTCACTAGCTTTAAAGGGAGATTAGACAAATTAATGGGGGGTGCATCCTTCTGTTCTTCTTGACCTTTTGAAGCTCAGGAAGACAGATGGTATGGCAGGCAAGACATGGTTGGTTCAGGACCCTCTCTTGTGCTTAAACTTTCAGCCTCTGTAAAATAGGTACTAATTACAGCTGATCTTACAGAGCTGCTATAAAGAGATATTGATATACTATATTTCAATTGGCACACAAAATAGCTTAAGATGTGTCAGACTCCATATATTAGCTATCAATGACCACTGATTATGGAGCAACACAGAGCCTCCTTAACTTGCAGAAACCTTGTCTTTTACAATCAGTTATATCATTACTGTGGAATGCTATTTCGACAGCCTTTGCTTCACTGAGGTTATTAACAGAGATGGGAAAAGTTGCTGTTTTTTAGTACAGTTGTAAAGTATATCCCAGCCAGTGGCTGTTCTGCTTAGTTATTCTGGGAATTGTAGTCCAAAAAAGGTAACTTTTTCTGTTTTTGTTAATTATTATAGTCAAGGCTTCAGTTCAGGTACTGCACAACAAAGTCTGTGTATTGCCATAAGGTTAGATAACTTGTGGCCTTCCATATGTTTTTAGTCCAGAAGACACCCCACCCATTAATCATTGGCCACTGCCTATCTGATGGAAGGGGTACTCCAATAACATATGGAAGACAACAAGTTGCTCACTGCTGTGTTACTAGCACGTATGTATGTGTACTGGACTTAATTCCATGCTTTGTTTTCTTTTCAGAACTCATGTGTACTACTTGATTTAGATGTGGTGACTCTTACTGAAAAAGCACAAAAGAAAACTTGCTGCAAACGGTGACTGCAAATGGTGACTCTTACTGAAAAAGCACAAAAGAAAACTTGCTGCAAACGGTGACTGCAAATGGTGACTCTTACTGAAAAAGCACAAAAGAAAACTTGTTGCAAATGGTAGTGATGTGTATCTTCTGATCATGTTATATACTTTGCACATAACAATTCTGGAATGGTTAATGTGTGTATTTTAGATAGCAAGGTATCAAGTTATTTAAGTTTTAGATGTTTATCAAGCAACAGTACTGTCTATCATCTTTTAATTACCTGTTACAAATCATTTTTAAAAAACAGAAATCTATGTTTTGCACTTCAAGTCATAACTGTAAAATCTATTCAGGAAAACTTAGTGGTATATCATAACTACGAAAACAGTTGGTATGACAAACATTACAAGAAGCAAATGCATCCTCTTTTGACAGGGATACAATTAAAGATCAATAGAAATGGATACACACAGAGGAAAACAAGAGAACTGCTCTTTCACAATTCAACTACAGCTGTTACAGAAAGAACAGTGGGGGTGTAGCCTTCCAACGTTTTGTGGCAGTAGAGGCCAGTAGACTGCTCCACTTCTATGAAGAAGAATAAATGGACACAAAACCAACAATTAAAATGGTAATATTCAGAAAGCCGATGGAGAAAATGTCAGTCCTCTTGGACGCACTGTCCATGAACTCAAGACAGCTGTTATGGAATCAAAGAACTTCAAAGTTAGATTCAGAACGGAAACAAGAAGAAGAATACATCAAGAGATTTAATTCAGTGTCTTCTGACTTAAGTAAACACATGAGCTCTTTATCCGATTATTTATACATAGAGATATTAATCAGTTCATCCATGTAGGTTTGCCTGTATTACTGCTGAACTGTGTATATAACAAAAATGACTTTTCCAGCAGGACTATGAGATAAAACAGCTTACATCTCTCTTCAGCTAAAGCAAATACCCTCTTAAAGGCAAAAACTGTAGCCTTAGCATCTCAGGGAGCACTTGAGTTATGTGACTAACCTTACTTTTACCAGGGTTATTCTGCTAACCAGCCCTTTGAAATTTTAGGACCAATGTTAATAATACAACTCAAATTTCTTTGTATCCCATTTCAGTATTATACTCTGCGAGCTGAAGCTATGGGCTCTGTACACAAAAGCTCAGTCCTAAAAAAAACCTAGTAATACTATTTTTATCCTCCAAAAAATGATTTTGTCCCACTTCTGCACTGGTACTACATACATATACTCTGAGTGTCCATGAATGTAGTTGTTTAAAAAATGTAATTAGGGCCTTCATATTGTTTATACCTGGCAATGTCAAGAGGGACTGTATGGAGGGAGAACTATGGCTGGCTTACTTGTGTGAATCAATGCAAAATGAACACTATGTTCTGCTTTTTTTTTTCCAGCAATACATTCTAGTGCTCAGCGCCATCTCTTTTGAATGGAATTGGCACAGTCATCCTGTTCATCTGAGCAGATGAATGGACACAAGGAAATGAAAATCAAAAGCCATACATATACTATAGATTACTCTGTTCTATAATATTTTTTGAAGGCTATAAGGTTTTGTTGAACCAGAATATCAGAATGTGCATTAAAGCAGCATTTGTTTAAGGTCCTGTACTTGAATGTACATTTGCTGCCATCTTTAGCAAATGTAGAATTTCAGACAGCACACAGCTTGTTTGCTAATTTTACTTACAACTTGTTCAAAAAGGCACATAAATGTCTTTTAAGATTATTAGATGTTTTACAATTGCACTGTCATGTTATGGAGACCTAAATTAGAATTTTTTGTTGTTTGTTGTTTAATCGTTTAGTCATGTCTGACTCTTCGTGACCCCATGGACCAGAGCACACCAGGCCCTCGTGTCTTCCACTGCCACTCGGAGTTGGATCAAATTCATGTTGGTAGCTTCAATGACACTGTCCAACAATCTCAGCCTCTGTTGTCCCCTTCTCCTCTTGCCCCCACACTTTCCCAACATCAGGGTCTCTTCCAGGGAGTCTTCTCTTCTCATGAGATGGCCAAAGTATTGGAAGTTTCAGGATCTGTCCTTCCAGTGAGCACTCAGGGTTGATTTCCTTCAGAATGGATAGGTTTGTTCTCCTTGCAGTCCAGGGGACTCTCAAGAGTCTCCTCCAGCACCACAATTCAAAATCATCAATTCTTCAGCAGTCAGCCTTCTTTATGGTCCAGCTCTCGCTTCCATAAATCACTACAGGAAAACCCATAGCTTTGACTATGCAACGTTTGTCAGCAAGGTGATGTCTCTGCTTTTTAACATGTTGTCTAGGTTTGTCATCACTTTCCTCCCAAGAAGCAGGTGTCTTTTAATTTTGTGGTTGCTGTCACCATCTGCGGTGATCATGGAGACCAAAAAGGTAAAATCTGCCGCTGCCTCCATATCTTCCCCTTCTATTTGCCAGGAGGTGATGGGACCAGTGGCCATGATCTTAGGGGCTTTTTATGTTGAGCTTCCGACCATTTTGGCACTCTTCTCTTTCACCCTCATTAAGAGGTCCTTTAATTCCTCCTCACTTTCTGCACAGTAATTACAGCTACTGGGTCTTTAACTTGCAATTTCTTTAACTTTCAATCCTGTTCAATACTTTGATATCTATCGTACTATACTGTAAATAAAATTAAGAATAAGAGATTCCATTAGTTGGTTGTTGTAGGTTTTTTCGGCTGTTTGGCTGTGTTCTGGAGTTTTTTCTTTCTAACATTTCACCAGTCTTTGTGGCTAACATCTTCCGAGGACAGGAGTTAGAACACAAACAGACTTCTAACTCCTGTCCCCTGAAGATGGCGGCCCCAGATGTTAGCAATTTGGTCTCTAGTTCCTCTGCCCCTTTTAAATCCAGGCTGTACTTCTGGCAATTTTCGGCCTGCCTTGGAGGATTTTGAGCATAATCTTTCTAACATGTGAAATGAGTGCAATTGTACGGTAGTTGGAGCATTCTTTGGCACTTCCCCTCTTTAGGATTGGGATTTAGACTGATCTTTTCCAATCCTCTGGCTACTGTTGAGTTTTCCAAACTTGCTGGCATATTGAGTGTAGCACCTTAACAATGTCATCTTTTAAGATTTTAAATAGTTTGACTGGAATGCCACCACTTCCACTGGCCATGTTGTTAGCCATGGTTTCTAAGACCCACTTGACTTCACTCTCCAGGATGTCTGGCTCAAGGTCAGCAACCCCGCTATCAGAGTTGTCTGGAATATCCAAATTTTTTTGGTATAAGTCCTCTGTGTATTCTTGCCACCTCTTCTTGATGTCTTCTGCTTCTATGAGGTCCCTCCCATTTTTGTCCTTTATCATGTCCATCTTTGCACAAAAGGTTCCTTTAATATCTCCAGTTTTCTTGAACAGATCTCTGGTTTTTCCCTTTCTGTTATTTTCCTCTATCTTTGAACTGTTCATCTAAGAAGCCCCTCTTGTCTCTCCTTGCTAATATTTGGAAGTCCTCCTTGAATTTTCTGTAACATTCCCTATCTCCCTTGCATTCTGTTTCACTTTTCTTCTCTGCTATATGTAAGGCCTCATTGGACAGCCCGCTTTGCTTTTTTGCATTTCCTTTTCTTTGGGATGGTTTTTATTGCTGCCTCCTGCACAATGTTACAAGCCTCCATCCATAGTTATTCAGGCACTCTGTCCACCAAATCGAGTTCCTTAAATCTGTTCTTCACTTTCACTGTGTATTCATAAGGGATTTGGCATAGATTATACCTGAGTAGCCCAGTGGTTTTTCCTACTCTCTTCAGTTTAAGCTTGAATTTTGCTATGAGAAGCTGATGATCAGAGCCACAATCAGCTCCAGGTCTTGTTTTTGCTGACTGTATAGAACTTCTCAATCTTTGGCTGCAGGGAATATAATCAATCTGATTTCGATATTGCCCATCTGGTGATTTCCATGTGTAGAGTTGCCTCTTGTGTTGTTGGAAAAGAGTGTTTGTGATGACCAGCTTGTTCTCTTGACAAAACTCTATTAGTCTGTGCCCTGCTTCGTTTTGAACTCCAAGGCCAAACTTACCTGTTGTTCCTTTTATCTCTTGACTCCCTGCTTTAGCATTCCAGTCCCCTATAATAAGAAGAACATCTTTCTTTGGTGTCCATTCTAGAAGGTGTTGTAAGTCTTCATAGAATTAGTCAATGTCAGCCTCTTCAGCATCGGTGGTTGGTGCATAAACCTGGATTACAGTGATATTGAAAGGTCTGCCTGGATTCATATTGAAATCATTCTATCATTTTTGAGATTGTATCCCAATACAGCTTTTCCCACTCTTGTTGACTATCAGGGCTACTCCATTTCTTCTACATGAGTAGAAGTAGATACGATAATCGTCTGAATTGAATTCACCCATTCCTGTCCATTTTAGTTCACTGACGCCCAGGATGTCAATGTTTATTCATGCCATATCCTTTTTGACCACATCCAGCTTACGAATTGATGGTTAAAATAAATCATGAAACCCAAGTTATGCAACAGTATACCATTCTCATCATTGCAAAGCAAAATACGAATCCTATTGCTTCAATAACATTCTCCCCCTCCCAGAAGTTACCAGCCAATCCATTCTAGCATAAACCTGAGTCCTGATAAACTTAAAAACAGCCACAGGGAAAAAACTGTACCATGATGTGCCACTTCTAGAACTGCCCTTCAAGATTATTTTGTCGCTCATAATTTTACTCTGCTGAGATACCACTGGACCTTTTAGAAAAACTAGCATGAAGCAAGAGAAAATAATAGTCAAATGTTAATGGCGCTCATCCTCTATCAAGGTAGCAAGAAGCCGTAGGCTTTTTCATGAGTCACTGTTAAGCTCAAGCGATCAGGTAACATTTATGACGCAAGTCACTTTCTTTCAACTATATTTTGCTCAAAGGTAATCATAAAACCACTCTGGACAAGGAAGGAAATTGTTGTCATTGGCACACACAAAAATGTTATTTTGCAACCCAGAAGGTGTCTCTATTAGTACACAGGCAGCAGAGATTGTGAAACATTTATGCTATTCACAAAATTGAGAGGGAAAGTGGCAGCTGAAACACTAGTTTCCCAGCCCTGCACTATCAGAGCTGAGCTGAGACCAATTTTCATTATTAGAGCCAATTCCACTAGAAAATCTTTTAGAGGGGGAAATGGCAGTGTAAAACATTAAATGGATACAAAACCAATATAGATTTCATGGGAAGGAGATGTAAGGCTAACTAGGTAGCAATACAAAAAACTGTTTCATTGGCGTTGAGGTTGGTGACTAAAGTATTTGTTTTGCACATCATGAGATTTTATGAGAGAAACCATACCTTCCATCAGAAATCTGCACATTTGTAGGTTTGTGGTATACTTTGGATAAATAAAATATGTACAAAGTCATGCATCTATTTAAAAAATGTGAACAGCTAAAATTGAAAAATATTCCCAATGTGCCCGAGTCATCACAGAAAATGCATACATTAAAATGCATATGTTAAAATGCATGAACTTATTTTAAATGTAAAAGTAACCTATAAATTCCTTTCAGAAGGAAAAAGTCTTACAATCTAATACAAGAGACTGAACAATGAAAACACAGGTAGGATATGGAGAGATGCAACAAAATCAAGACCCCTTACTAACAGTCCTTCTGAAAAATAAAAATAGTAAAATTCCAATTCCCATGCAATGTTAAGCAGTACACTTTTCCAGCTGTGTAATGAGTATGACTGTCAAAAACCTGACATTTTAAAATATTACTCGTTATTCCAAATGATCACTGTTTCAAAAAGCTATTTATGTCTTTGGGATGGCACCAGCAAAAATAGTTCAGGATGTTTTACCATCCTCTATAAGGCACATTTCTCTCACATACACAAGTTGGACAGAGTATTGTTTGCTTACTAAGAGGTCTTAAAAGTGTCCTGGTGAATCCATGCGGAGACAGCGCAAAACACAGAGGCTTGGAACAAAGAAAGTAGCACATGGGATGAATGGGGAAAAAATGTTGCACAACTACCAGAAATCCATGAACGTTGCCCAAAGCTGGTCCACTGTTGCTTCCTGATGGCTGCCATGAGCACACCTGTAAAAGAGCAGGCAGACTGAACTGCTCCAGAATATTTATTTATTTATTTAAAATGTTTTTACCCCTGCCTTTCTCCTTGAAGCAGACCCAGGGTAACTACATCAAAAATCTGGTAGGAAGGTATATCCTATCACCATACTCAGCTGCCACATCGCTGCTGGCAAAGTGAGCAAGCACACCGAATTGGCCATTCCACCTCCAACAAGATGAACTTATTCTGTTCCATGTCAGATGAATTTGCAGCAAGGAAAGGTCAGACCAGTGACAAGAAAGATGGAGCAGGAAGAAGATCTGGCAAAGTCCCCAAATTACTGCCCAGTCTTTCTCATATCAAAGCTGTAGTTAATGCATATGTGCACACACATGCACACCAAGATATTTCTGTTGTTGTGATGTATCCACAGCAGAGTGATTAAGACAGAGAGCAAGGACTATGAAGAACTGTTGAGGAAATTGGGTATATTTAGCTCTGAGAGAACAAGAGAGACCTGGTGGTCATCTCCAAATATTTGAAAGGCTGTCGTGTGAAAGGTGGAGCAAGCTTGTTTTCTGTGGCTCCAACAGATAGGAACAGATATCATGTACTCAAAATTACAGAAAAGCAGATATAGATTAATATTGGAAAGAACTTTCTGCCAGTAAGAATTATTTGACAAATAACTGTTGAACAACTCCTACTGGCAGGTTAAATGTTAAGAAATCCCTATGTCAAGCTGTCCCTCATTGTTGGTTTTTAAACAGTGATTGATGGCTATCTGTTGTAACACTTTTGCTGTGATATCCTGTTTTGCAAAGGATATATTAACTTGATAAGCTTTGGGATCTCTTTCAATTCAATTCTATAATTCTATGGCTGAAATCTTGCTGTGAGGTTATATAAAAGGCATAACTTTTAGAGCAAAAGTTAAGGAATCTCTGTGCATTGGTTGCATGCTCAGTCAGTATCCCACAGATACTGTCTATGGAGATTTCTTAATTTATAGCAGTTATCTCTAAAAGTTATACCTGTTGTTTAACTCCACAACAGGACCTCAGCCTACGATTATAATTCTATGCTTATGTTTAAGAAAGATCAAAAGGGCTTTGGGTGCCCTTGGCCTTTTAGCATCCCAAAGAGCACCTAATGCAGAACTCAAGTGAAAGTCCATGGATTTCTGCAGTCATATATCCTGTGCACTTTGTCTCAGAAACAGAAGTCTCAATGAGTTCTGTATTGTTTGCTCCCAAGGGAGACTGCTTAGGAAAAAGCAGGAAAAACAAAGATCAGGCCAACTACAAAACAAGCTTGGTACTAACCATGTGTCTTCTAAATCCCATTTTTTAAAAAATGGGATTTGTTTCCACCAAGAAGGCTGAGTTAAAACACACAATGTTACACACATTTCTTCAGAAGAATTGTGTGTGTTTTTTTTTTCAGTAAAGAGCAAAGCCTCAAACTCCTTTTGCTGCCCAGTCCTTTCCCAATTAGCATCGAGAGAGGGGCTAAAGGTTCAGCAGTAGTTTCCAGATGAACTCCTTAGAATCTATAAGTAAGGTTGGAAAATTTCCCATTTGAAAGCCTTGGAAATGGCTGAATATGAAAACCAGCAATAGCGTGACAGAATCAGTGAATGTGAATCAGTTTATGACCATTCCCTACATTTTAAATAAACAGCCACATGACTGGTTCGTTGTACAAAGAGGGAGGAATAGCTCAGCAGTAGAGCAAATGGTTTACATGCACGAAGACTCAAGTCCAATCTTTGACACTGGCCAGGTAGGGCTGGGAATAACTTCTCTCTGGAACAACCCAGGACCACTGCCAGGGAGAAGTTAATTATACTGGGCCAGATGGGTTCCAAAGAGATAGTGATGATGCAGCAAAAGACAAAAACAAAATGTTTCGTTGTTGTTTAGTCGTTAAGTTGTGTCCGACTCTTCCTGACCCCATGGACCAGAGCACGCCCGGCCCTCCTGTCTTCAACAAAATGTTAGAGCATCTTAAAGTCTAAGAAAGTGATTCTAGCATGAACTTCTCTGGAGTATAATAGGTGGACAAACCATTATCCCAAAATTTCAGGGGTCTCTACAGTGAACATCGTAAGGGGTGGGGTTGTAGTCAATAACGTGGGAAGAAAACTATGTGCAGAAATTAGCGACATCACCATCATCACTCTACCATCAGACCTGCACAAAACTGTTGTTGAGACCCCAGTCAATCTGGCACTCGATAAGTCCATTAACATACACGGTCGAGAATGGCCCCGATGCAGATCTCGACTGGAACTTCCTCGAGTCTCCCCCTCGGGGTTTCTTCGCCTGCCTCCCGCTCCGTGACAAGGCTACAGCCTTCTCCTTTCCAGCCGGAGCTTGCAGGCATCTGACTGACCGAGAGAGGGAGTGAGCGGGACACCGCTTGCAGGAGCCTCCGACCATGCCTCCGGTTCGTCCCCTCCTCTCTCCCCACCCATCCCTCTCTTTTTTTCCCCCTCCGAAAGAAGGAGGGAGCGTCTGGGCTGCCCTTCTTTCCCTGGGAGGAAGAAAAAAAAGGAGGAGGAGCGCGGACTGCGCAGGCGTGCCTGGCACCTTGTTGACTAGTCAGCCCGTGCTGGGATGGCGTTTACTGGGTCAGCTGGAGCTGCA